GACAGACAGACAGATGAGAGGGGGTGTTGAGGCAGCAGCGAACATATCACCTTGTACTAAGAAGGATATTATTCAAGAGAATGATCACTGAATGATAAGGATGACGAGAGAGTAGAGTAACAATAACAACTACACCGGGCACTAACCGAAAGAGAGAGAGCGAAGAAGAACAACTATGTACTCAAATACTTTGTATATATAGAAGTCTGTAAAGGCCATATAGGGAAGTTGAAGTGTTCGAATCTGTGCAGTATGTACGGGTAGGGAAATATTAAAGGAGGCGCGCGAGTGTACGCTAACCGGGAGTGACGAAAGAACCACGAGTAGTCCATATATGATGGAAGTGGAGAACACACAAACACACAATCAATTAATCAATCAGATGAATCAATCCGAGAATACAAGGATGCGATGGATACAGCGCGTAAAACTCTTGTTGGTGAAAGATACTTGGACAGCGAGATAGTGGAGAGGTTTTGAAGAGGGTACGATATAGTACGATACGATCGGGCTGAGAGGGAGCTGCTTGGGGAAGATTGGACTAAACTAGCGATGATGAGCCCTTCACAGCGCGCGACACGACGGGGGGATAGATACAGAGCGGCGTTGGGGAGTGCTGAAAAGCAACAGCAGCAGCAGTAGCAGTAGTGGTTGGGTAGAGTTGTACGCCTAGGTGCGAGTACCTACGAATGCGACGAATCCGCTTACTTGTGGTGGTCAGACGGCAACCGCGGACGACTCGGCTGCCTCCTGAATGGACGCAAATGAAAAACGCGCATACAAGACGGTGGCGTTGGAAAACTCACAGATACCTTCTTGAGTCGTTCGTTCAGCTCAGAAGCTTCGGAATCTTCCATTTCCTCGTCAACGTCTGGGAATTCTTCCTTAGCTCCGACGGAACCGGTAGAAGCCAACGGTTGGGTGATAGGGGCGTGGGAGACGTTCAAAGCCTAAAGTGACAGACTTGAGATAATATGAATGTGTCATACTATCATGAATGTCATGAATTCATAATAATATTTTTTAAGCGAGAATGATGATTTTGAGAGATTTCTACAGGGCAATTGTATAATGAATCGCGCTTTATGACAACATAATCAGAGGTAATTCTCGAAAAAAATGTCTTAAGCATGAGCTCCGACACGTACAAGTAAATTGTTTGTACTTCCTTAAAAGTCACTCTGCTAGGAGAAAGCTAGGAATGGAGAAAGGTATACAATCAACAATTTAAATTTCATCTTTAGTTAGGCTGTGTTGCCTGGGACGCCCATTTCGCTTTCATGCATATGGTGAGCTCATCGGTTTGAGATGTGCGGAAAGAGTGGTCAATAAAAGATCATCTTTTGGCTTTATTACCTTGCGAAGCATAAGTTCGAAATAATGCGTCCAGTGTAGAGTCACCTATGATGCTTTAGTTGAAAAGGAAATCTTTCTTTTTGAGGTTTCTTCAAAGCTACGTTTCAGATTGCCAACAAAAGGCGTGCGCTACCTATTCTTTAATAGGCAAAACACCACACTCTCGTTTCATTCGAATTGTCAAAGATAGCACAGATGTAAACTCGAAGCTCATAAAAATTGTTTGACCAAGTGGACTTACAAAGAGAATTGTTCACACTATTGGCTAAGTCATCAAGAAGTTCTTGTATAAAGCAAAAATCGATTAGATTGGAAGACAAACAGAATTTTTTGAAACTAGTAATACGTAAGTACAACATGATATTGGGTGTACAACTTAATTCGGTCCGTTTGCAAAAGATGGCGCTAGGTGCTATAAATGGTTGAC